TATTATGTAAATGAGCCTGTTCCAGTGGCGCAACTCGTTAAGGCGTTGTCAGCTCAACCTTAAATTCTCTGGATCGATCCGGTTCAAATTCAGTCCAGGCACAATTTTTTTTTGAACATTTTTATCTTTTCTTTTTTTCTTTTTTCTTTTAATCTATAATATTGTTTTGTTCTAGCTACTATTTTATTCATTGCGTTTTTGTAATAAGTGTTTTCTTTGTCGTGTGGGACCCAGTGTTCATGTCCAAGTTTACATGTTCAAAATGGTGTCGACTTAAACAAACTTTCTTTCTCAGGTTGGAGTCAAAGAGTAGCCATCCTAAAGTACCCTGTAAACTGCTTTCCAGCTTCCGTTATTGGATCGAGCTACGCTTTAAATCCACAACTGTTTATTCCGTTTAACGTAAGAATGGTACAAAGTCAAGAAAACTGCTTTGTGTAGAATTACTTTCACGATATTGACCTTTACCCATCCTTTTATTATTACACGCTAAATTTCAATTAATGATCACGATTCTATCAGGGCTTATCAGATTTTTCGTGGATAACTTCATGTGAGAGACAATGCGTCTACTACTTTCCGCAAAAAGGTCATGTAATCTTCTTAAATCATCGTTCCTTACGCCATTTTGATCATATTCTAAAGTAGCCATGCCAATTCGAAGCGAGACGACCTGCGCCTTGAGCGTGAAAAAAAGTATGACTGAATGTCTCGCTGCGCAATGCTGCCTTTCAAAATGTCCTTGGTAAGAGTGTCCTGAATTGGTTAAGGTACAACTGCTCAAAGTAGCTCTAGAGAAGAAGATATTGACATTTTCCAGAGATCAATTGAGGGATAAGAAAGTCTTGTTGATCACGATAATAATTTTCCGCAAGTTTTACTGATGTTTCGAACGTTCTAAGTAGTGGAAGTTATGTAGTCGGGCGTGTACTGATTCTGACTCGCCAATCAGAGAATCGTACGTGTAAATACTGCACAGAATCCACAATGCGTGTCATGATCATCACGTACCACAAGACACTCGCGRTTTATTAATTATGGATTACTTTGAAAATATGCCAAAGCTAGAGCGATTTTACCAGAGTATGGTTATTATTAAAGATTGACCTACAAGGGCATTATACATTTTGTTTTTGAGGCTGAATAAACTAGGTCTCACTATYAATAAAYCGACATTGCGTCAGCTCATTCAAATGTTATCTAGAATAAAAAAAACAACACGCCAATCGCATATTTGCAATATCCGCTGGTGATATCACGCGAAARGCTATGCAATRATTAGCAAAAGTAATTGAAGTTCAAGTGAACCAAACATTTGGAAAACAATTTAAATATCAGTTAMGAGCTCGCACAGGTTTGTTTTCGCGACCTTAGGTTGTGTGTGCTGCCAAAACAAAGTTGCGCCGMATACCGAACTTYTCAGGGTGTTCTCAGTCGCAAAACAAAGCCAAGGAAGCACYCAAAGTATGAGCCCAGAGGGGCAAGCTTTCAATGTGTCTTTTTTGCCAGATTGTAGTTCAGGAAAAGRTTGAATCTCATGGCAAAGTTTGAGGGTATYAATTAACATATTGATTGAAATCCATTGATGCCCATGATAGCGTTCTTACCCTGTCACTCCGGAACGATAAGAGAATGTTTTCATTAAAACCTTCCTGATGAAGATAAATTTGTTTTTATAGATCAAGCTTTATAAAATATTTTGGGAGCAATGACCCGGGTTTGGATGAATTTAATTTGCCTGCAGGGTCTTACGTTTCGTTGAAGGAAACAGCGTATATTTAGTATGGGCGGTAAATTACGCTATTATGYATCGAGTTAATTAGTTGACCGATTTGAGTGCAGCCACTGGAGGCTAAAAGCGTGAAAAAGTGCGAACCAAATAATGCTCAATAGCGCGATTGTGCGATTAGACAATAGATCAAAGCAAAGAAATACGCGTAACAGMACAGTACAGCATTGTTAAATCACTAGAATATTTATACACTTTAGCACAATTTGGTTAGAGTAAAGTCATTTTTACCGTGAAACAAAACTTGATTATTAATCATTTAAGTATCATACGTCAAAAAGACAAAAAAACAATGCAAATCATAAGCGTACCAGGGTGTGCTTATTTAATACATATTTCACGGGTTTTTGAAGCTCACTTTAGGATTTTTTCAAGTACTTTTTCGCTTTTTAATGTTTACTTTCTACGKAATTTGTAAAACAATTTAAACATAATTCAAAAAGCATAAAATTGCTGGTTTAAAAGAAAATCTAATAAGACTATTAGGACCAAAAGAGTTTACATGTTGTTCGCGGCACTATCATGTGTCACCCAATTGAAATGTTTTCTATCGAAACACCAGCCTTACTCAAGACGAACTACTTACGTGTGGTGCCCTGACCGTTTGACCAACCAACAAGTGATATTAGTATGACCAGCCAACTAACAACAGGGACGACAAGCCTGACGTCCATAGCCAAGGAACGGACGTGCGCCACAGCCCGATGATGAACTTTTGAACTAATTCTTGTACTATATGACGTCAGAGTTTGCACTGCCTACAAAGGATTCTGGTACTTTTGATAACCATAAGTGTATGTTTCACACAGATTTTATTACGCTCATTCAATAGCTCAGGTAAATTTTATTTAATTTTTACTTCGAATATGTTTATAATACATCGTACACGTCCTGTGCCATTTCAAATCAATTATTTTTTATCATAATATTTTTGCCTTGACAACTCCTGATCAAACTGACACTTCTACATATAGACCGYAGCTCAAACTAGAATAACAGGTCTGGGAGGTCTTGAAAAAGGTGGTTGCTCAGTTTTTGGCGGCAACGTTTCTGGTGCCTTTGTTGTCGTTGCTTTTGGAACTGTAAGGAAATAAAATCAGCATAAATATAGCTTTTATTTTGTGTTTGAGTTGACGTGCGCAAACACCTTACCAAAACACAAAACAAAGAATTTAAAAATCAATTGCATTTTCTCTTATTTGACTATATTCCCAGAAGGCTTTTAGGTCTTATGGTAAAAGACCATCGATCGCTGACTTTTGATAGAAATGCCGGCCTTATTTAGCAGGGGCAATTCTCAGCTGCAGAGTTTATCACATGTTATCAAGGTAGATTACTGGAGATTGAGGGTTATTTCTCTCAGACCTCCATTTGGCGGCCTTGTTTGTGTTCGTGGTAACTGTGATTGCCCGCAAGAGAATCAGTGAGTTTCGCGGGTTAATAACATCTACAAAAAGCAACGGGGATCAAAGCACGTATACTATTTCTCAGGACTTAACAAACCGCTTACATAAAGCAGGGGAGGGGTCAAAACTTACCACATTTAGGACAGCATTGACCAGGGTCAGGTATAACAACCCCATCGCATGAACAAGTGACTGCCCTTACGTCACAAGTCGCGAWTCCCTTTCTACCACATGTACACTTGCGACAGAGGAGATGTTGACCCATTTTGATTTTGTCGACCCATTCTGAGCCCTCTGACATAACTTTCCCATCGTGGACACAATCTGTTGATCCATAAATGTTGAGAGATACAGTCATTAATCAATTAAACTCGAACTGTATTGGCATGGAATCGAACGTATAGTAGATGAGAGTTTAATTGAAATGATAGTGGTGGTACGTTTTTACCAGTACATGGAGATATATCATCGCAGAAGAGCTCGATTCTTTGCCAATACAGTCACCTCTCGCTATTACGGACACCCTCAAGACCGTAATTTAGTGTCCGCAGTAGCGAGAGTCCGTAGTAACGAGAGTTACTTTCAGTCATTTTTTTTTTTTTTTTTTTTTTTTTTTTGACGGGGATTCAGTATTTTACTGTCCGCAATATCGAGGTGTCCGTTGTGCCGGGGTGTCCGTAAGGCGAGAGTTGATTGTATATACAGGACAACTTGTTTTGCTGCAAATCTACATAGTGATCACCGCCAGACCTCGTTTACATGATGAGGCTTCATTTACCACGTCATTTTGAAACGTCTGTGCAGTGAATGACCTTCATCCACATTTCTCTGGAAAATCCATTACTGGAGAGCAAAACTGTAGATGAAATGTAAAAAAGTCACTTACCACATTGTGGACAGCATTCACCAGTAACATTCTTGTATTTAGAGCACTGGGGGCCTTGCAAATCAATGTCACAAATGCTATGCAGTTGACAATCACTTGGTTTGCCTTGTGGTGAACAAGTACATTCCATACACTTTGCGTGGTGTACATTGGACGACCAATCATTTGGAATGTACATGGTTTCCTCGACGTTGTAGACTTTCCCGTTGACATTACACTGTTTAGAAGGGCTTTTAATAACTGTGGAAGATAAATTATTTTGCCGTAAGATTGTTTTGCTGTCAAGTCGATTCAGCAACAAACCAATGACATCGACAACCAACCAACCAACCAACCAACCAACCAACCAACCAACCAACCAACCAACCAACCAACCTGCCAATACATCATTATTTCATCATAAGTGTTAACCTCTTGTGAAGCGATAGATTTGGTTTGTCCATGACTTTCCAACCCCATCAACGCAATTTTTTGAATCTCCGTAAAGTGCAAAGCGTCTTTCGGCGTCGCCATCGCTCCAGCATTCACCATAAAATTGTACACCAAATAACTTTGTGAAACCCTTTTCGTAGGCCTTTTTTGCGCACTCCTTCACAATATCTGTAGTGATTTGTGGCCATTTTTTCCAATCGATAAGAGTTCGGTAGTTGTAGTAATGATTTCGAAGTGCACGACTGTTTCCGTCATCTTTAAAACAGCCAACGGGTTCATAGCGTACCAAGACTGTGGAAAAACGACTAATGTTATGACTCGCATTCATACTTGAGACTTCTTGGTTTCATACACTTAAGACTCACATGCACCCAAGATCCTTTGCAACCGTTTGTTTTGTTTTAAAAATGACCTTTTGCAATTGGTTCAAAATTTCTGTATGTATGAAAATCGTGCTAAGATTCTCAGATGAACAGTGCATCTTTAAATTAATATACTGAAACATTTGATTTTGAATAAGTTATCATTCAGCACTTACTGTCATTGTTAAAAATGTCTTTAAATGGAAAAGAGTTCTTCAAAATAAAAAATAAAATCAACATGTTAGTTGCTGTTCTCTAAAAAGTATAAGTACGTACTTAGATGCCACAAAAAAASGTTGGAATACCTACCGATGATCCTCCGACGAATACTGTTATGAAGACTAGTAGTAGAAGAGAAAACATGCAAGCTGAGGAGGCGGACGACATGCTTGAGTCAGTTCTAAGTAAGAACAATAGAGTTACATTAGACTTCCCGCCACTGTTTTACTTGGTAAGAGGCGAGCCACYTTGTATTTCAATTGGTCGATAATGTACATTGCTTGAATTGATTTGCAGTGGGTGAACATCCTGAACTCTTTTCGTTTCGTATTTTCATTTCTTCTTTCTGTTTATTACTTTTCCTCGTGTTCTTTTTCTTTCTTTCCTTTTTTTTTTGATATATGAGCGACTAAATGAAAATCGTATACATTAAGCAAGAAAGGAAAACAAATGCTTGCTGGATTTCAACCTCGCGATTCATACAGAATCTAGCGCTCAAAACCATTAAATAAGGTGTTGTGAAACATTCAGTTGCCTAAAAATACTAGATGGCGATGATAAGACATCCTTGATTAGAAAAGTAGGAAAGGAAAGCAGGGAGTGCAATGATTGCGAGATTGAGGGTCAGCCACCGACTCGTGCATTTTCAAGATTAACACATGTTTTTCTTACCTTTCGATTAGATTGACCTTCAACCATTCACCATCAAACCTCTAGGCCCAGAATTAAACGGGATTGCCGAGAACAAAGCGGAACTACATCCTATCCAGCTGTCTATATATGCYTACGGTTATCTTTGATTTGATATCTATCATCAGATCATCAAGCTAGACGCGATTACCGGTATAAAACTACCATGGCCAGTCATTAATTACAAGCTATAGAACGATTAAAAGTTCGAAATTAATGTAATCATGGTTATATTAATGCCATGTGGACATATACGTCCAYTCATTTCATTGGCTAGAATCTTCCAKTTKRARRRRAA